AGACAAACAAGTTGATTTCTACATTTGAAGATGTTCAGTGTGTTTTTTTTACCTAAATCTATTAACACTAAGTGCAAAATAAATATTTAAAATCTTTGCATTTTGCCAGGTTTGATGTTTAAAAGCTGTCCAACAAAAAACACTTATCTCACACACACTCACACACACACAAACGACCAGCAGCTAGGCCGTCATGGTCCACAGTGTTCTCATTAGAAGGAGGGCTGCTGAATGATTCATGACGGGCCACACAGGCTGTGCAACACTGTCTCACATATCACTGACCACAGATTTACTGCTTTCCTGGCACTGGGTACAACCTGAAAGGGATTGATGACAGCAAAGTGTCAGGATAAACTCAGCTACCAGTTCATGCCTCACCCTGTGCAGAGGACTACAGTGGTTAAGATTCCTGTTTTTCTGCCCTGGGTTTGGCTTCCAGTATGTCAGGGGATTTACTTTTGCAGTGCTATTGTTGTGGAAAATATCACAGAGTTTAAAGTTCTCTGTCACGATGATGGATTTCCATAAGTGAGATTCCAGAGAGGCCATGTATGAGATCAGTGTAATGAAAATATCATTTTAGGACAAAACTCAGCCAGATAGGAAATGCAGGGATCAACTATGGGTCATAGGGATTATGTGTTAACATCCTTGTGTAATACACACTGAAATCACTTCCTTCTCACTGTGTAGTATGAAGACAACTATATATTAATACACACATAGCATATCAATACATGTTATATTTTCCCCAATGAATTAACACAAAATATACCGGCATTCTTTTATTAAAGGTACAGTGTGTAGAATTTAGTGATATCTAGTGTTGAAGTGTCATGTTGCAGCTGAACACCCCTCACCTCACCCTCTCCTTCCAAACATGAAAAAGAACCTGTGGTAGCTTCAGTTGTCATTAAAACTCAAAAGGTGTTTAGTTTGTTCAGTCTGGACTAATGTAAAAAACATGGTGGCCTCTGTAGAGAGGACCTCCTCCATGTAAATATAAAGTATTTAAATATAAAGGGTCTTTTCTGGGGTAAAGAAAACTACAATTCATACAATTTAGATTAAACGAACTAGTGAAAACATCATGAGGATTATTCTACATTAAATATCTGCCAATAGATCTTCACCTAAATCTTACACACTGGACCTTTAAGTCATAATTGAGGGTTTTAATATCTTGCATTGTACTTTCATTCTTTACTTTCTATTCCCTTAACTGTATAAGAGGAGTTTCCTATTGTGCTGAATGTCTGTTTGTATGTTTCTTTTACATTTTGTGCTGATACTTTTTATGTTTTAGCTAAAACATTAAACAGACATGTAACCTAGGCTGCAATTCTCTCACTCTACTCCTCTGCTGGCCAATTTTGATCACAATGCATGATGGTATAGTGCAGTTGGTGACCATTGGATACTACTTTTCACGGTGCACCGTCAGACACTATATACATATGCTATAACAATCTCACTAAACATACGGACAGCGCTACAAAATGGTGAAGTAACTATATAGTTAGCAGTGTGTGATTTTTACACAGTTCAGCACCAGCTTCAGCACTGAATGAACTCACCCACAGAACTGGTGAGCACTAACAACGTCACGGTACCAGCATTACACCAGGAAGTCACTTCTCCTCATTAAGAAATAGTCCAGCACACAACCTCCCTATAAATCCCACATGGCATCATTAGCCCACATGTTAAACGTCTTCACGTTTTATGGTGCTGTTTGGTTGATTTCCTTATCTTCAAATGTGGCTTTTATGAGCTCTGCCTGACTGTGGTTACCTTTATGCTTTTTCTGTTGGAATTTAAAGCAGCTCTCTAACTGCTCCTGTCTGCTGTTTGCCACTGAGCAGGTGGTGACAGAGGGTTTTTTTTTCAGTAAAAACAGCTGCCTGCTGGAAACCAGCTTTTAAGAGAAAATGATTCTGGTGAGGATGGTATTTATGGGGCAAGAAAATGAAAACTGTGAGCTTAAGAGGCTCAGTAGTTCAGTAGAGAAACGGTAGTGCGGTGAGTTGGTCACTATGACCAACACTTTTTTACACAGTCACTACTCTAATGTGTATTTCAGCAAGAGAAATCCATGCCACGCTAAATGACACTTGCTTTGATTTGTCAGAGACAAATATTAAGTAAGGAAATCAGGTAAAATTATCAATTTTTCATTTTCCAGCTGTAAAGTACCAGAAAAAATCCAAGAAGGCCTACTCTGGTATCAATTATAAGGAAAATAGACAGTGTTACAGTTTAAAGTACTTCTTAAGAAAAACAGAGCCTTATGTTCAAAGGTTCAAAGGTTTTATTTGTCATCTGCACAACAGATGTTCATGTTGGCAATGAAAATCTTAAATCCCAGGCACCACAAGCAACTCATCATGTAATAGTGTCAGAAAATAAGAGTAACTAAAAATACAAATACCAGTACACTAGTGCAAATAAAACAATAAGTACAATGTCAGTAACTAGTGCAGAAAAAAATAAAACATTATAAGGTGTCAAAGTGGAATATGTGCAGTCAGGATTTAGCAGCAGTTATGGGGAGGTATGAACAGATATGAATTATTGCACTCATTATATTTTTATGTAGCTTAGAAATATGATGAATAGAAAGATGTAGCAGAATGAGAATTATTATAAACTAAACTTAATAAATAAATATAGTTCTTTGTGCATATGAATAATATAATGTATAGATAAATATGTTGCTATAAACAGATGTAGTGACCTTCACAGAGCTCAGGAATTCAGCAGTCTTACAGCCTGTGGGATAAAACTGTCCCTGAGTCTGGTGGTCCTGGTCCGGATGCTGCGGTACCGTCTGCCAGATGGCAGCAGACAGAACAGTTTGTTGCTGGGGTGATGGGGGACTTTTAATATCCTGTGAGCCTTCTTCCTACAACGCTGGGTGTAGAGGTCCTCCATGGATGGTAGCTCCGTCCTGGTGATGTGCTGAGCAGTTTTCACCACCCTCTGTAGAGTCTTGCGGTTGAGGGCGGTGCAACTGCCGTACCAGGCCGTGATGCATCCGGTCAGGATACTCTCGATGGTGCACCTGTARAAGTTGCAGAGTATCCTGGAGTCCATGTTGAACCTCCGCAGCCTGCGGAGGAAGAAGAGCCGCTGAGGAGCTGTCTTTGTGATGACTCTGGTGTGATGAGTCCATGTCAGGTCCTCACTGATGTGAACCCCGAGGAACCTGAAGCTGCTGACTCTCTCCACAGGAGTCCTGTCGATGGTGATGGGGGCGTGTCCGTCTCTCTGCTTCTTCCTGTAATCCACAATCACATTGGTTTTGCTGACGTTGAGATGGAGGTTGTTGTCCTGGCACCAAGATGTCAGGGCTCTGACCTCCTCTCTGTAGGCCGTCTCGTCGCTGTCGGTGATCAGGCCGATGACGGTGTGGTCGTCAGCAAACTTGATGATGGTGTTGGAGCTGTATGTGGCCACGCAGTTGTGCGTGAACGGGGAGTAGAGGAGAGGGCTGAGCACGGAATCCTGGGGGGCTCCGGTGTTGAGGGTCCGGCTGGAGGATGTGATGTTCCCCATCCGCACTGCCTGGCGTCTGCCCGTCAGGAAGTTCAGGATCCAGTCACAGAGGGCGCTGTTGAGCCCGAGGTCCCTGAGTTTGATGACGAGCTTGGAGGGCACAATAGTGTTGAATGCTGAACTGTAGTCAATGAACAGCATCCTCACATACGTGTTCCTCTGGTCCAGGTGGGAGAGGGCAGTGTGGAGGGTGAGGGTGATGGCATCGGCTGTGGACCTGTTCTCCCTGTAAGCAAACTGCAGGGGGTCCAGTGAGTGCAACTGGGCGGTAGTCTTGAGGCAGATGGTCTTTGTCTTTTTAGATACAGGAATGATGGTGGACTCTTTGAAACAAGTGGGGACTATAGACTGGAGCAGCGACTTGTTGAAGATGCATGTGAACACCTCTGCCAGCTGAACTGCACACACCTTGAGAGCACGGCCAGGGATGCCGTCAGGCCCAGGAGCCCTATGTGTGTTGATCTTTTTTAGGGATCTGCACACATCTGCACTGGTTAGAACCAGGGGGCAGGGGCAGGGATCCTGAGCCTTCTGTACCTCCACAGCCGGGGGTCTCTCAAAGCCTGCATAAAATGTGTTCAGTTCATCTGGGAGAGATGCACACACTTCCTCTGCACCACTTGTTGTTCTTTTATAGTCTGTTATAGTTTTTAGTCCAGACCACATGTTTCTAGCGTTGGAGCCCTTGTAGTCAGACTCCACTTTGYTCTTATATTGTCTTTTAGCACTGCTAATAGCTCTCCGGAGCGCATACCTGGAGTTCCTGTATTCATCCAAATCACCGGCGCTGTGCGCGACAGCCCGAGCCTTGAGTTTGGCTCGGACCTCGCCATTTATCCAGGGCTTCTGATTTGGGAATGTTCGTACAGTAATCCGCGGCACGACGTCATCGATGCATTTGCTGATGTAGCAAATGACCGCGTCTGTGTGTGTGTTGATGTCCTCCTCCTCAAACATACACCACTCCGTGGAGCTGAAGCAGACTGCTCGGTCCAGCGCTGGACTGTCCGTGTCACAGGTCGGTCTCTTTTCAGTCTCTGCCGGTAAACGGGGAGCAGGAGAAGAGATACGTGGTCCGACTTGCTAAAGGGGGGGGGGCTTTGTATCCATTGCGGAAAGAATAAACATGGTCCAGTGTATTTCCACTGCGCGTGGGGCAGCTGACGTGCTGACAGTATTTCGGCGGGACTTTCTTCATGTTGGCGCTGTTAAAATCCCCGGCCACAATAAAGGCAGCCTCCGGCCTCGAAGTCTCTGTCCTGTCGATCACTCCGTACAGCTCCTCCAGCGCTGTGTTGTTGTCAGCGTGCGGCGGCACATACACTGCTGTTAGAACCACAGATGTAAACTCCCTCGGCAGGTAAAAAGGCCGACATCTGATCAAGCACCCCCCCCTTACTCTTCCCTGAGTTTATTGTCCGGTCCTGGCGATGAATGGAGAATCCGTGCCCAACAATGGCGGCGTCCTGGATCGAGGGGTCAAGCCAAGTCTCCGTGAAAACCATAACGTTACAGTTCTTCATGTCCCGTTGAAATGCCATCCTGCTTCGGAGTTCATCCAGCTTATTATCCAGGGATTGGACATTTGCCAGAAGTGAGCTCGGTAGAGGAGGCCGGTTTTCGCGTTTCCTCAGCCTGACTAGGACCCCGGGCCGGGATCCTCGCCGTCTTTGTCCCCAGGTAAAGCGCCAACAGGTAGCCACGGACACTCGCCATTGTTGTTGTTTGCTGGTCGTGGTGGTTTTTTGCTGTTTGCCAGCGACCTGATGAGTAAAGGTTGTTCTCTATCATGCTGAATGATAGGGCTCGCTTGGGAGGATTGCATGCTGCAAAAAAGTTTCAATTAAAGAGAAAAAGTACAACAGAACGACACTAGAAGTGAGAAGGTGAGGAGCTCGAGACACGGCAGCCGTCCTCGGCGCCATCTTCACCTATCTAGAAATTAAGTGATATTTTTAAGAATAACTATCTATATATATCCTTATAATTTACTGCTAAGAAGTTATGAGTTGATTTGTGAATATGGGCTTCGAAAATCAAAAGTAAAAAATTCTAACATGAGCATGTAACTTGCTATTCATGTGTTGTTTTTAGCTGAAAGCCAGTGTCCCCACTGTAATGGCAACCTGAAGACGTCTGTCCATCACAGTGCCAAGATCCCCAACAGATACTCAGTAGGTATCAGCACCTTTCTGATGATGAGGGTCATACGTGTTCATATCTCCTTCTACTGGATTTAACAGGATGACTTTTCTTAGGAAAGAACTGGTCTGTAAAAAATAAAACACACGTCTGAGTATTTTCAGTGGATCAACACGTTTCTTTTCCAGTCGTTGCAGTATGCCCAGCAGTGGTGAGGAAGAGGAGGGAGGTTGCAGTTGTCTGATAACCTCACTGGATTACAGGAGTGAAAAGCAGCTCAGTATGAGGTTTTGTTTAATGTAGTGACACTACAATAAACCTATGTCATCTCTAACAAATGAATGTGTCTTTCTGTCATTTTATTTGAAGCTGTGTGGCTTCTGAGTGGAGACAGTGATCCGTTTGTTTTCTATGGACTAATCAACAGACAAGATGCTTTTAACTGAGAAGAACAAGTACAAAACATACGATGAAAAAATGCTGAAGAAATGCTCTAATCGTAAAAACGCAATGGATGGACATTCAGTGTGTATGGGGAAGGACAAAAAACACTGAACTCTCCTCTCCTTTGGCTGTCTCCTTTAGTTATTACCCACCAGGTTAACAGGTGAGTAAATGAACATAGCACAATGATGCTACTTTTTGACAAGAGGAGGTTATTGCATTAAATAATACTAGTGAGAAGCTAAGAGACAGAGCCTCATTGTCATTCATTGTATTAATTGTATGCCTCCACCAACCAATGCATTTTCCATGTACAGATTTCTATTAATTGTTTTTCTCAGATTCATATAAGGTCACTGTGACCTTTGACCGCTGAAATCTATCAACTTCATATTTGTGTGCAAGTGAACTGCACATTGTTTTACTAGAGTTTTGGTCCGGGTTGTGTTTACACTGACTCTTCTAAAGAGTAGTAAATATGAAGTTATACCATCAGAAATTTTCACTTTAAAATGCCTTCTTTGTGTTTGTTTGCTCTATGGTGTCACACAGCTCACGAAAAAATAACTGATGATAACAATCAGAATTATTAGGCAATAAATGAATCCCTTTGAATAATAACAAACAGGTAAAAATATATGACGAAATAGAGTCACCATGTGCACAAATATACTGTGGGTACTAGCAAAAAATGTTTAATTAACTGACAAGTTTACAGCATACAAATAAAATTGATGGTAGTATTACCAGATTTTGACTGATCGGGCTAAAATAACTGCATCATGTGATAACACCACTGTCTGAAAGTAAAGATGGATGATGCTTCTCTAACTATACAAACCTGAAGCCTAAATATCCGGGATACAGGTGCTGCCATCTTGTGGTGGTGACATCGTTTGGATGCAGACTTTAAATCGCCAACACACACTGGATTGATAACAAGTCAGTGTCAGCTGTCAATTGTGATATTTCACCCCACTCATACAGCATCAAATAACCACACTCATCAGAAACATAAACACAGGCAGGGTTTACAACATGTGCTGCAGCCAGCCAGCAGGGGAAAATGCAGATATTTTGACTTCACTTTTAGGAGCTAACGTAACCCATATTTATTTAGAGTCTATGGTTTAAACAGATATGTGTTATTACCAAATTATTCACATAAACATATTTTATCTGTCTTGCTTCCCCAACAGTTTATAAACAGCAGATGGATTAATTAACAGTATAGTTTTTTAATTCATGCTAAAATCTGTGTTCACAACGCACTGAGGTTGGTCCATTTGCATTCAGTCTACAGACGACCAACACCTGACTCTGCCTGGAAATGGACTGAGATCCTCTTTTTACACGGTCTCAGTGCAGTTGTTTGATCCACATCAGGGTCTGATTAACAACTTTCTCACCAGTCTACAACCGACTGTTCTAATTGGGCAACAGACTTCATGTCAAGTGAACCAAAGATGGTTAGACCGGAAAACATTGCTCAGATTTCAGGCCTCTTCATCAAGGGTGAACGCTAACAACATTCTGGTACAATATACATTTTAGCATCACAGTACATGGAAAAAAAACAGGATGTCCTCAGTGTTTGCTCATGTGCTCCATCCATCAGGGTGGAGGGGACTGCACCTGGTGTGGTATGGTACTGTTTGCTCCACAGTCAATGTACTCATACGTCTCAAGAGAGAGCTGCTCATAGTGGATCAGGTAGTAAACTGTCATCGACATCCTGCAGTACAATGAACACATTACATGAAAGAATTATAAACGTATATTGACAATAAAAATAAAACATACACAAGATTGTAGCTTCACATGTACAGTGTAACACTGCTCTGTCTTATTTTCAGAAAAATGAAAATACACTCACTATCTACTCACCTCTATGCCGATGGAGGGGTGGGTGAAGTGTTTGAGTCCACAAAACACTTAAGGAGTTGCAGCCAAATCCAAAATAATTGAAGTAACAGGTGACTCCTTTTTTAAACGTAGAAAAGTTTGACTCCTAAAAGTCTCCTCCTCTGGTTCAAGTTCGTATGCACATACTGCACACAAGCTCTTGCCCAAGGGTATGCGCAGGGTGCATGGTAGCACCGTTACTGCTGCTAGCAACACTACTTCTGGTAGAGGACATTTAGGCTTAAAGCTCCAGTCCAAACTGAACACCTTTTGAGTTTTAATGGCAACTGAGGGCTACCACAGGTTCTTTTTCATGTTTGGAAGGGGAGGGTGAAATGAGCAGTTTTCATAGTGGTGAGTAGGTAATGAGTGAATTTTCATTTCTCAATTAACTATCCGTTAAACATAAACAGAAATATTTAACTTTATATCTACTTGGAGCGACTGCAAATCATGTTCAGGGATGTATTCAGAGTTTTATTCATGTCATGCAAAATTAATAATCATGATCCATTATGAGTGACCAATACAGTCAATGGAAAAAACAGCTGCCTGGCTAGTAGTGTTTTTTCTTCGTCATATGTTGTTTGTCCCAGAAGCTATAGCAGTTATAGCTTGTGCGAGCTATAACTGCACAACAAAATATATTACATTGGTCCTGTCGTTTTTAGACATAATTATATCCAATTAGACATTAGGGTGAAACTATCATAATTAGCATGTTAATGATTGAGTTATATTCAAAACCATATTTTGTGAAATAATAGAGACATTTGACCACCAAACTATAATCAGTTAATTCTGGAGTCGTAGTGTAACATTTTCTGGTACTTACTGCATGTGCAGATACAGGATGTGGACAGGCAGGGAAGCTTTCTTACAGTAGTTACTGCAGAGAAGAACATAGGAACGTTAGAGCAATGCCAAGAACAGTGTTTATACACTAGTAATGATAACAGAGTTAATTAATCTGTAACCTTTTTATTCTTATTATTGCCCTACTTTGTCTAATTTTGTGTCATCTCCAAACAGTGTTTAATTTTTTCCATTGGTGTAATAAATGTATTGCAAATTAATAACACTTTTCAAATGATTTGCCATTATTGGTGCATTGATAACTTGAGGCAGTGGGAGGAGATTATGCCCTGGGTCAGTTTTTGAGTATTTCAATGTTATTTTTGGGGTCATAATCAAGATAGTAGCAGGCAATTGTATAATGAACATTGTTACATGCATGTAATTGTTTTGGGCATAGGGCTTTCAAAAGGGAATGTGAGACAGCCTGTGATCATAAGTCTAGACATTGGTTTATTGGCAGGGTACAGGAAGTAAACACAAAGAGAAATCTGTCACATTTGCAGAAACCTCAGGTGTGATCTCTCACACTTTAACCAAACCAGTCTTAATTGAAAAAAGGCTCTGAATGACAACCTTATGTGCTTGAGAGAATTTTACTGTAACACTGTCAACTCACCTCAAATCATAGTCAGAGAGCTTGATGGGGATCACGAAGGTGTACTGTGAGGTGAGAAAGAACCAGAGGTCATCACACTATTTTTAAAGGCATGCCAATTGGAATTCATACTTTTTCAATTCTATTGGCAACAAGACATTCATCAACCTTTTCCAGCATAATTGAACCAGCATGCTGCAGTATGTGGATCTGCAGATACTATATTAGATCGGTCTAATGATGTGTGTTTGTGATAAGGATATGAATGACTCTTGATCACCATTCTCAATAATTCTTTTCAGCACATCCCTACATGATGCTAGCTGTTTCTGCGAGGTGGGGATATCTCACCGTTGCAGTGGACAGAGGTTTGACAGAGATGACGTTCTCAATGGACACTGTTCCCACCACTGTGAGAAAGTTGAGGGCCTGCATTGACAGATTATAGGTCTGCACCGCTGCAAAGTTGTGGTTGGTGATGTTCAACACATGCTGTAAGGGGAAAAAAAGTTGTGACCGACAGACACTACAATGAGTCAAAGCAACTGATACTATTATTATTGTTGTTCTGTGTTTATTGTGGTTACAGTCTTCCTCCATTTATGTAGCATTTTATATGGTCTTCTGCATTACAACAACTTGGTGTACTGGAGTGGAAGAGCCTGTCATAGCTGCCTATTATACTCATGTCAGGCTAATTTGCCTAATCTCCCCTTGTCTTTAGGCTGCACTGGAATGCAGGAACCTTGAAAAAAGTTCCAGGTACTTTTAATTGAAACATGGCTATTTTTAACATCTATACCCACCGTGATGTTAATAAGGACGTCTTCATCGGTGAAGTAAACATAGGATGATTTGACAGCTACTGGAGACAGCAGGACAGCGCGAGGAAAGAGGAAGAACAGCACAAGGGCACTGACCAGCAGGCACACACCGACAGACACAGCAACATATAACTTCCTGAGAGAGAAGGAAATATCAAGTTCAAGTTCATAAAGTCCAGTTAAGTTTTTCTTTTCAGGTTAACCAGCTGTGCGAAGCATTCGCTTTCTTACGTGTGTCTAGGCCTCAGCCTCTGGTCATTACAGGGGATGACAGCCACCAGCTTGCTCTCCTGACCTGTAACATGCATCAAGATTTCATAAGATTCAACTGAAAAAATGGGAATAGATCTGTCTTTGTCTTTCATCTACAATTTGCTTTTAAAATAAAATCACATCGTAAGCCCACATGTAAACATCCCTTGCATGTGCTTTTGAAAAATAGTCCCAACATCTATTTAATTTGCAGGGACAGAGATGGAGAGAGAAATAGAGAGATTGAGGCTCTGCACACAGCTCTGTTCCAGGCTGCCAGGGTCTAGGTAAATAATGGTGAATACTGCACAGACCTTCATGTGCAACATGAGTGAGGCTGAAAATTGGGAGCCCTACAGATACTGCCTTATCTTGTAAAGTATCCTGTGCCATTATTAACAACGGCTTTGTCACATGTTTATTACCTGGTGGGAAGATTTCCACATTGTAGCATCCCTTGTGGCTATGTACTGAAACTCAAACTGTCACGCTATAAATTCTAAACCTGCCTGTTTTGAATGGGCAATTTACTTTGCCTGTGGTAATGCTGGCTGCAGCTTTCTGTAAAAACGACCTGTAGTAATTGAGCTGCAGCAAGAAGGACCTGCTGCAGGACTCAGTCCACAGAACCCTGAAGTAAAGACCTGCTGCTGCACAAAGAGCTGTTATCCTGTTCAAAGCTCAGTGAAGCTTAAAGTACCCAGGACCATGAATTGAAGAGTCAGGTATTTTTTTTACAATAAATGTGCCCCTTGTCCTGAATGTGCTGTTGTTGCGATGGACATGTAATTTATGTTGATGAGTCCCAGTCGCTGCTACTACAGAGTGCAGGTCACCTGTTTATTCAAAGTTTATTCATATAAAACCAAATTCGACACTGTACTTCACAATGCACCTGCCAAGAGTTTAGCTAATAAGATAATAGGTTCTCAAGATATGAGTTCTTTACACAGATTCCTGGAGTTAGTTAGGTAATTAGTTAGTAAGTAAGTAAGTAGGTAGGTAGGTAGTTTGGTAGGAGGTACATATGCTGTGTGGGACAATGTGACCACATAACTTGTTTTATAATCGTAGGTTTTCCAACAAACATATCAGTTTCCACCGGAGCATATGGCTGACGCGTGTGTCCAAAACAAAACGAAGCAAAAAGTGTGTCCTCCACGATGGTTGATTTTACAGGTTTATTCGCCAAAGTACAATAAATAAGAAGCATAAAATTTCCACGAGCAATGTAACTAATGATATCTGTCCAGACACGCTCCAAAACAACGTCTTCCACGATTTTCAACACAAATATCAACACGGTCAGAAAAACCGTGTGCTCCTGTCACTCTCCTGTGATCCACACACCTCGTTCCTAAACACTGTGTTGAACAGCTACTTTCTTAAAGGTACAGGCGTTTTTTTTTTATCTGCTTCACTGAAACTAATAATGACATTAAACAATGAATTACGAGTGTTTATGTGAAAATAATAACTAAATAATAATGATCATGACTTCAATTAACTTATTTTTAAATGCAATCAAATTATTAAACCGCCATGAAATCCAAATAAATTCTCCATAATGAACTGAAATTTATCATGAATGATTCATCAATCATACGGCACCTACAATAATAATGACTTAAACTTGATGACATTGATGAGCAGTTTATATTGTCTCACTGATCCCATTTTTATTGACATTACCTATCTCGTGTAATAAACACCAATGCTCTAAATGTGATGCAACAGTGTCAGCATTCTGAGACATTTCAAGAATAAACCACAGATAGAAAACTGAAAAACTGCAAAACTAGACAGAAGTTTTATGCAACCTCAAAGATGAAAGAGCGGCCGTCTGCAGATGAAGTAACACAGAGCATGTGTCCTGCTGCTTTCACATGGCTGAAGGTACTTGAGGGATACTTTTATCATGTAGTGTAAAGCAGTGTTCAAAAGACATAAGCCAATTCAACATTACTTTATAAACGATGCAGTCCACTTTACTGTTCAGTACCTCTGCGTATACGTCCAGTGCCCTGGCAGGTCGGACAGGGAACTGTCTCTCCTGAGCTGCATCTCCTGCTGGAGCTCCGCCTCTTTATGTCATTATTCTCAATTATTGGTTGCTGGTCCCTGTCCTTGCAGCGCGAATCAGCCCCTCCAGTGCACAAATTACATGTGCTGGGAATAGCCCCCATACCTGAATAAAGAGGAACATTTCAGATACTGCAAATTAGGCTGTATTAGCTGTATTTCAAGGAAAAATAATGAAAGCAATTTTTTTATTTCGAGATATATCACAATTCATGACAATTGTTCTCAAAACGTACTATAGATAAATATGAACTTGCAATGAAATCTTATTCTCATACAATGTTTTTGTAAAGTTGTGATTTTAGTTCACGTTTCTCATAAAATTGAGGCTCTAAACATTAAAACTTTTCATTAAAAAATAACATAATTTGTAATTTTTCATTTATTATCTAAATCAACCTTTTCAATATTAAATATATTTTAATATTATCATGACTTTTCACATTTGTTGTATTATTCGTTCTACTATTAGTTTCTTCCTTATAAAATCATTACTTTCTCTTCTTAAATGAATACAGCTATTTCAAAACATTATTCTTTTGTAAAATTGTGACGTTACCATCACAATATTATGTTTGTTTTTCAACACACACACAAGGTTAGGTGGTAATAAAATTAACACGAAACAGAATCCACTTGACCGTACAACCGCTTGACCCCCCTTGAATATTGTAGGTGTCAACCTAACTATGTAAAGTGCCATGTTGATTTTTTGGCTTTATTGAATTGAGATGAACTGAATATTTATAATAATCAGTGTTGTAAATATTGTAATTTTGTTAATGTGTTCAGCTACGTGCAGCATCTATTGCACTTCTGTCCGTCCTGGGAGAGGGATCCCTCACATGTGGCTCTCTCTGAGGTGTTTGAATTTAAAAAATTGATTGTTTGATTGATTATTTGATGATAAAACAACTTGAGAGTATTTGTCCACCATGGTGAAGTTAGTGAGAAAAATTTACTTTTTGTCAAATAAATAACCTGGAAAAAAAACTAGACTGAAGGCTTAAAAGAAATAATCGCACAAGTGATTTTAGTGGCATAAGAGTTGGTATTAGCACTGTTTGCATTGTTCTACGTTTGTTGTTCATGGATCATGTGAACACTTGCTTCTCTGTTTCTGGTGTTATTCAGAAATTAAAATTAGAACATGAATCATATTTTTTGAGTAAAATCTTTATGTTACTATCACTATATTATTATAATTAATCTTAGAGCTTAAATTTTTGGTTTCATGGCCCACTACTTTTGGTTCAGGTATCCAGTTAAAGCCGTTTTCTAGGAAAAATATAGCTACAGTTCAGCAGATAGACAGAGTTACAAACTACTGGCCAAACACAGTGGATTATTTAACAGCTAAGGGGCCAGTTGTTTTTCTCAAGACTTCGTGGAGAACAAAATAAAGCTAAGACACTGGGATTTTTGGCTGTTGGTGTTCCCGGCTGAGGTTAGTGGAGCTCACAACCCAAAAACATGAGTCTTAACTATGTCTCTCCTTATTGCCTGCAGTTAACTTCATCATGATGATGCACTGTTTCCCCCAATGCAATGCAACATAGAGCTAAAACTATATGGTACACCTACCTCCCTTTGATTAGGGGGGCTTTCACACCTACCTTGTTTGATGTGGACCTTCTGACTTTCAAGTTTAGACTGAACATAAAAATAACTAAATGTGAAAGGTGCCTTGAACTTCGTTCCAGATCAACGAACCAAAATTAAGTCGTTAAGACAATATTAACCAACAGACAAAAAAGAGGCTGAAGAAGCTTGCAAAATTGCTCAACATTCAAACTGCTTTTCTCTATGCACTACAAAAAAAGTTAGCACATACAATAGTAGTATTGACAACACCCAGAACATTCGACGCACACCTATCTAAAAACAAATCAAAGTCAACTTTTGGTTGCAGCCCACATAGGTGATGATGATAGGACAAACATGTCATACAAAAGTCTTCAGCGCAGTTCCTTAATTGTAAAGTGAAACCAGATCTAAATGTTACAAAGATGTGAACATGGTTCTAACCTGTTTGGACTTTTAGGTTTGAAACACTCAAAAGCCGTTCTCAGACATGACCTGCAGATAATATCTGGAGGAATTGGGTGAAGAAATATCTTCTGCACAGTTGTCTAATGATGATGTTGATGAAGGCTGAATAAAAGAACTGCTCTATCATCATCAGCATCATCGGATTCTCCCGACTTTTTGTGGTCTTTGTACTGGGGGGCGAGAAGGAGAAAGTCTGCAGAAAATCCAGAGGCTCTCAGTCGGACATGCAAAAAGTGTGGAGAATCTCCGGAGTTCAGTGCATTTCTGAGAGCAGCTTAACTTCCACGAACCAGACATCTGTGGGATCGTCCATTCTGAGGAGACATGCACTGCAGTTAACGTCTCTAGTTTTCGTCTAGCTGCTAAGCAGCTCCCCAAAACCTACTCTTCCAAAATAACCTGTTCTGTTTAAGAATGACCGACACGCATCTGGAAAACCAGCAGATAGTTGCATGGTCATCATCTTCTCGATCACTACCATCGGAGTGAAGACTACAGGGCTCTACAGAGCAGTTCCAGCCATCGATACAGTGATATATGTGTAAAATTGAAGTAGGAACCAAAACCTGGATTTGAGTTTAAGAACAGTCCTTCGTGTCATTACTTATTCTTAAACTGTGTCAATGTTTATTTCCTCGTCAAAAAACTGTGAATATAAGTGTACCTGGCTATAGAGCACACACACACACACACACACACACACACTGCAGTAGACAAGATATGACAGCTGAACTACGCACTTCATTTTATTAGGGTCATTGTAGCTCCCAACAAGATCAAGCTCAGCTTCACAGAGTGTGTTGTGAAGAAGGATCAGAGGCTTTCAGGAGGAAACACGTCGTCACGCATCTGTCTACAACAGTTCACATGTTTTACTGAAGTCCACTTTCTGCTACAAGTCTTGTAAACACGTCGGACTTTCAGTTCCCCTTCAGACCCGCTGCTCTGGATGTTGTCCCCACAGACTCGTCACTGACCTGAGAGTCGAGCCTCAGCCTGTCCGCAGCGTGTCCTCCCTCAGTCTCACCGTGCTCTGGGCTGTTTGTGTTTAGCTCCTGTTGTGTGTTGTTGTGCGTGTTGTTCTGTGTTGTGAGTGGGCAGTGGTACACAACTCAGCTCCCACAGCGTCACGCCCAACGGAACAACACACACAACCACTTCCTGCGAAGCCTTTCAAAGTAAAGCTGTCATTGATACGACTTGTTAGTCCGTCCACTCCAGCAGGCAGTACCCACTGCTAATGTTTCCATAAGAGCAGTTCATATTATGGACAACACTGTAGTAATTGGCCACGGTACATATTTTAGTAAAACTTACACTCTTATTTAAAGTTTTTCTCCCCCCCCCCAAAAAAATTCATCCAGATTTAACTTGCTTGAGGTTTAAAGCCTATTACCTTGCAACCATTTTGTCAGTTTGGGACCAGTATGAAAGAAAAAACACGTTTCAATTGATCTTTTGTCGATTTATCCCCATTTCTGACTGAGCTGATAAAAAAAAAAAAAAAATGCACCAGACTGTGCCAACTTGAAATAACAAATGCATTCCGCTTTAACTTTGAAATTCAAAAGCTCACCAAACTTCCGGTACTATTCATTTAGGAAACTTGGCTCAGCTATTAGTCAGCTCTTTTCAGTGGACTTTAGCCTGAGCAGAGCTTCACAGACTTAATGACAATCATTTAGAACCAGTTTGTAGTACCAGTTAAAGTTGAGGCTCTAAGATGAACTTCAGAGATAAACCCCGTCATATTGGACAGTTCAAACTTCTACGACTCGCACACACAAAGATTTTGGTGGCAGTTTAGCCCCAAAACAAAAATACACATCTCAGGGTTGAATTATTATTATACAAGAAAATGATTCACTCACTGAAGTTATGAAGTCTTTTATTAAAATTGAAGTGTGCTTCAGATCAGTGACACTACCTTCATTTAAAGGTACAGTGTGTAGAATTTAGTGTAATCTAGTGGTGAAGGTGCATGTTGCAGCTCACCTCAACCTCCCATTCCAAACGTACGTCCAAATGTAAGGGAAGCTATGGTAGACAGTTGTCATAAAAACTCAAAAGATGTTTAGTTTGTCCAGTCTGGACTACTGTTAAAAACATGGCGGCCTCCATAAAGAGGACCCCCTCGATGTAAATATAAAGTATTTAAATATAAAGGGCTTGTTCTAGGATAAAGAAAACAACAATTTGTAAAATTTTGATGAAACACACACATTATTTTATATTCAATATGTGCCAATAGATCCATTATATCAAAATCTTACACACTGGACCTTTCAAGGTCTTCTTAGAGGTCGTATTCTTAAAAATTGTGCTGAACAGTTGGCAGATATTTTCTGTTTCATCTTTTCATTGTCACTCCATCTCCTAAGAATTCCCAGTATGTGGAAAGATTCAATTATTGTCCCTGTGCCAAAAAAGAAAGTTACAAAATCCTTAAATGACTACAGGCCTGTGGTGCTTACCTCCCTTGTGATGGAAACACTAGAACAAGTTGTGAAGGAGGTACAAAAGAATACATTTTCAAGCAGAGTTGGATCTTCTCCAGTTTGCTTACAGGTCATGCAGGGGTATTGACGATGCACTAAGCACTTTAATAAATATGACTGGGTCACACTTAGAGGGGGCAAAATCCTTAGTATTACCATTTTTTACTGTTTCTTTCCCCCTATTCCTGTTTTATCGATTCTGTTCTCACTGATCTGCTGGCAGGGGTCCATCAGCCTAAAAAATAAGAACAGACTAAAGGCTGTAGTGTGCAGCAAGATTGCAGGCATAACTTTGACTGACCTGCCCAGCCTGTACAAAGTCAGGACCTTGAAGAAGGCTCGCTCAGTCCTGTCTGATGCTAGTCATCCACTGTCTACGGAGTTGTGTTCCCTCTGGCCGCAGATATTCTCTGCCAAGATGCAGGACCAATAGACGTAAAAAAGAGTTTGTCTCTACTGCAATTGGCCTTTTAAATATCTTTATGTCTTTTTACTGCTGATTGTAAAACAAATTGCCCCTCTGGGATAATAAATTAAATTAAATCTTAAATCTTCTCTCTTTGTACAAGCTTTCTGTCATGGAGCAGATATGGACTTAATGATCCTTTTCAGACTAACATTCATCCTGAGTGATCACAAGAGGACAGCAAGTACAGGTGTGAACGCCATATTAGTGAGAAGGAAACAGAGAAACCTTAAGTGCATTGACTTTAATTGGACACAGATATGTACACCATGTTCATACAGTACAATATAGAAAATAAGCTCAAACAATCCAGCGTTTATCTTCTCCCTTAAATACTTGTTTCTTTAACCCAGTATGAAAATATTTCACCAGCCCTGTGTTAAATTTAAGCCTTAATCTTTCCACATCAGGTGCACGTACTTCATTAACTACACAGGGTTTTAGATTTTTGCACCGGGGTTTCTTTAAGACTACTTTTAGGAATACAGTCTCTTAAGGGGGCTGTGGTGAGATTCAGTTGAGCAAACGTGATGCAAAACGTAGAACAAACTATAGTATTCATGATGTGAAGCTACTAACAGAGTTTACTGAGGAATTTATAATGACGCAGGAGATAAACTCAGTAGGACACCCCCAAATAAAGTAAAAACATCATCAATTCCTTTTTAAATTCTGGTCACCAAAACATGTTTACATCAATGTTTTGTGATTATTTTACAACATCACATTGTTGGTAACACCACATTCACAATCCCTTAACATCATGCAGGTATGATTGGCCAGGTGAACTCAACCTTTGTGTAAAACTGTACTCATGTATTCTCAATGGCAGTTTATACTCTGGTATTGTAACATGAGCTATGCTGATTGGAAAATGTCCCATTAAAATCTTCACCCCATATCCATACTAGTCTGTCTCGGTCAAGTTAGTCAGGAGTTGAAATATAAAGATTGTGGAATCCGCTCTCCACTACTGCTGAGAGTTAGGTAACTAATATACCTATTTCAAAGGTTCAGTGTGTAAGATTTAGGTGAAAGGGATGTATTGGCAGAATTGAACATAAAATAATCCTAGTGATGTTTTCACTATGTGTGATTATCTAAATTGTACAAATTGTGGTTTTCTTTACCCTAGAATGAGCCGTTTATATTGTAATACTTTATATTTGCATTTGGAGCAGGTCCTTGAGGCCACCATGTTTTTTTTACAGTAGCCCAGACTGGACAAACTAAACACCTTTTGAGTTTTTATGACAACTAAAGGCTACCACAGGTTCTCATTTTGAAAAGGGAGAGTGAGGTGATGGGTATTCAGCTGCAAAATTCAACTTTGCCACTAGATGCCACTAAATTCAACACACTGAGCCTTTAACAATGTTAACAGTAGCATCATGGCTACCTTACATGTCCTGCAATCTTAGGAATAGAGCCTGACCCGTACTTGATTAAATAAAATCTTCCTTTTGTCCATTTGTAATGGAGACGACCGAATTTGTCATCAGGATTTGATGTTTGTTAACCTGTCCATGGGCAGGAGACTACAAGTGAAAATAAGCTAGTAGCTAAATTTGGTACAAAGCATATTTTCTCTTTGTGTTAATTTAATCTACTGATGTAATTTCACCATTGTTAAATCACCCCTCGGATCTTTTCTCCTTTATGTTCTCTAAAATAAAGCTTTCCAAATAGTACATATCAAACATACTGTTATTTGGCCAATATCGGCTGATACAATACAGTGAGTGATAAATCGATTAGTCTCTGCTTGGGAACATGGGTTGTACATGTCCTCAGAAATGAACACTATCATGAGATAAAACAAGTGAAGACCTTCATGACTGGAAGGATATAGAAAGTAAGCAGCAGTGTAGAATCACATTGGTGAAAGGTAATGGAAAAAAACTCATATATCTATTTTCTCTGATCTCAACAACAACAACAATATTATAACCTCCTAAAGTTCTGCCATGATTTGTGTTTACGTTGTGCAAATGTAGACTTTAGGAAGATATAGTGTTTGGGCACAGTCGATTGTCAGGCTCCAACGGTGAGTAGTTCCGTCGACCTGAGACAAGACGACCAACAATATTCTGATCAGATTAATCTACAGTCAGCAGATGAGTGGCTTAGCATAGTTTAGCAAATGGCGAACAATGCTAGCCTACCAACCAACACCTCTAGAGCTCACTTGTTGTTATGTTATTGATCAATAGAAAAACCAAAGTGTACAAATGCCAGATTGTTGTTTTATACATGGCTATGTTCTGGGCAACTTATCAGCTCAACAAAGTGACTTCTGCTTTCTACTAAGCTTCAGAGATGCTGGTAGGTGGATATTGTGACTTTCGATGAAGCTAAACGAATATTGAATATTTCTCAAAATGTTGAACTATTCCTTTGAGTATCTGAGAATTTATAGCTTTTTTAAGCACTGACACTGGTACCAGTACACATTTTATCATAATCCTACAACAAGTGCTGTTTTATTAAAGGATTTGTTCCAACTCCAAGCACAAATTCTTCAAGTCCTCTTACGTGCAAACTAAAAGACAATCCTCAAAACAATCTGGTAACTCTTCTTACAAAGTATAACACTAACACACACATACAGCAGAGCAAATTCAAGCACCACACAAAAAGCCTGGTAATACAACATCCACAGCTCAGATTTTTTATATTTCCAAACAGCCTTCAAGCATTCAGAGAAAAAACAAATCTCAATTCTTAACTTAAACTAGTGATAACTGATAGTCAATGCTTCCAACTAGGTTCTGTATATTCATACATTTGTGAAGAAAAAAAACACACATATCACATTGTTACACACTGTTTGATTCCAGTTAAAGTTTGGAAAGACCCTCCTGTACATACTCTTAAAAGTGCTCTGACAAAGGATGAGCAGTATCAACCCCGGACCTTAGCACACCACACAAAACAGGTGACAGGAGTGTAAAATGATATGAAAATATGAACTGTATAGGGGATTCTACTCAATATAGCCATTTCAAGTCATTAAATGCAATCATTCTGACTCAACTAAACAGTTACTTTGAGCAGCATTTCTGTGTCGTGTCCGATGTTAAAAGAAGAGAAAGCGGAGTGAGCTGTGTTAATTTATATCTTCAGTTCCATCTATGCTTCAAACAAAGAATTTGTTGAGTCATCTACCTCTTTCACACCTGTTTTTGTGTGTACTGTACTGTAGTTACAAGCAAAGTAAAAGCTGTAAAAATTACATCACAAAGACCGACAAGTAACTTTTTCATTGGACAGTGTTGGTGATCTTGCATCATTACTGCGGGATCCATCTAAATGGTGATGAACGGCTAGACATAGGATGTACACTAAAAGAGGCACCTTTTACCACAAAGTTACAGTCCCTACATGTCGCCTACTTAAAAGTACATGGATGAGGACATGAACTCAACACAATTCTGTCTGACTTTTCATTTTCTCATCTGATAAACAAACACCTGTCCTGACGTGCATCGGTGTTGCCATGGAAATCAAACTATTTGCCTCATGCTGAGAACCCTCATCTATTGACATCACGATGTGTTTAGTCTGTGCCAGAGCTTGTTGAAGTCTCTGACACCTACCTACAAGCAAACCAAACAAACTGGCTATAACGCCCTTTCCTATTGCAAAATTGTGCATGTGACAAACTTTTTGACTTAACAACTTTGTGTGAGAATTATGTCCACTTATGGCAATAGCAAGATATAGAGGTTTATTTGCACATTTTCTTTTTTTCAGTCTTTATACAACTTTTTTGTATAAACAGCAGGGCTCAACACCAGGAATGATTTAAAGGTGTGACTGTCCAAAAGTGTAAGACCCCAACATTGAGTGTGGCCTCTCAGAGCAGATAGAAACATTTGCATCAGGTGACTTGAATGAACCAGTTCATTTGAAGCATACTGAGACCTTCGCTCTGAGCAGAGAAGAAAATCCTTACTATGAGAAACAGCCAACCTGTTCAGGGTAACAAACTACATCAGGGAAGAGACTTGACTGTCAAGACAACGATGTGTAAAAGAAGGGAAAGTCACAAAGAGGAAAAAGTTAGTTGTAGGTTCAATGAATGGTCCCTGTGTCCTTTAAGGTTTAAGTGCAAATACTCTAAAGTCACATTGGGGGAATGTTTTTCTGCTTTCAGTGTCATCTACTCATACAGCAGTTTATGCATAAAGTCTAGTAATAGGTGTGTTATATCCCTATATACTCTTGAGTGATGTTGACAAAATGTACAAATAAAATTAAAAAGCAGCTACAGTCTCTCTCTCTCTCTCTCTATATATATATATATATATATATCTATATCTATTTAGATATAGATATATAGATTCAGATATATAGATATATATATCAAAAAATATTGTCAACAAGGGGTAGATTAGTGCTGCACAGAGATAGAACAGAGACAGAAACCGTCTGCATGTCCACATCTCTCAAACCTAGTGAATCTAGCCAAGCACATAAGCTAAATCTTTGCTTATTTGGACTATTACTAACCAATGGTTTGCCTGGCTAATGTAAGGCTGTGGCCATACCCCACCTCTATGAGCATTCCGCATCTACGTTAAACACACGATGATGCATGGATGCAGATGACGTCACAGTGAGACAGACAGTTTCTAATAAATTACATTTGGCAATGACCAACCTAAACCAGATCCATGCCTAAAACCTACACACCCAGTCACACCAGCATTCAGAATGTGAAATCAGTTAATTTCAAAAGAACGAATGGAATCGGAGGATTCACTTATAGTCAGATTGTTTGTGTCAAATCTAATTTTGTGGAACTTTAATGCGAGTCCATATATGACTTTTGTGTTTTTCCCATTAACTAGGAGGGTTGTTGTGATGGCATTAGCCATTAGTTTGCCAGCTACAGTAGTTTATTAACAATCCCTTTGAAAAGTGACAACTACATTTTTTGCAAGGACATGCAGAAAAGTGAGCCGCTCTCTAGTGGGACTGGATTTTTATTTAACTATGATGACGCCCATCAGTTTAGGGTAGCAGATCAGGCAAAGCCAAATGACAGAAGGGGAACCATCAAGCACCCAGGATGCCTTGTTAAAAGCATTGTATTAAGACTTAATGCAGTTTGATATACAGTAAACAATAAACTTAATGTGGATTTTCAATCTATGACTAACTAGCATGTGTACACATTCTCTGACAAAAGTAACTTTTGTTATCAATGCAGATGCAATATTTGATATATGTTATTTATCACAGTCCCGGGAAAAAGAGGACAGTAGAAAGGTGCTGTGTGTGGCATTTCAATACTAACTAATAATTATCATCGTTTTTATACTGATGTTGGTGTTTTTACCTAAACGTCCCATTAAATGTGATTGTTGGACCTGGTTAGTTTTGGAACATAACACAACTTCATGTTTGCTTCTTTACTTCCTGCTTTAATCAAGCAGAACAACGTTCCCCTTGGTGGCATGGGATATGTGGTCCTAACCTTCGGAAATGCTATGAATAGCTAATTTAGATTGGTCAGCAGAGGAACCACCCTGCCACTATAAAGGCCAACACTGACAGTAATACCACAGACAGTGGGTGATTGATGATGTAATGCAGGATTGCAGAGATGCTTGCTGGAATGTTTCCCTGTATATTGTTATACAGAGGAGAATGCTCTCAATTTAACTGGACCAGTTAGAAAAGAGATTGGCTGAAAGATGAAGGTAAAGGTAAATGAGCAGAAATTGATTTCCTTCTTCCCATCTTTCTTCCTCTTTCTTCATTTAGCATTACTTGTGTTTCATCTCCATCTTCTTTTTACTTCTTCCTGCACATCTTCGTCTCCTTTGTCAGTAGCGTGTGGAGTACCAGTCATTGTCGGTCATCTGAACGAGCTCGTTGACCACGTCCAGCAGGTTGTAGTTATATTTCTTCAGCAGCCGCTGGTTCAGTGACCGGTCCCCAAAGCCCATCTCCACCAGCACGGCCATCATGGTGTCCTGGGTAGACGAGTCCACTGGAGGCTGCATGGGAACAAGATCTGATAAGTCCTGCTACAAATACTTTGAAAACAACAGTGAAGTTAATAAACGAACTGTTTGCTAATTCCCGAATCCAAACAATAACGATAACAGGAGCTGAATGGGCACATCAGGTTTGACAAGCTTTGTATTTCTCTGACAATAAAGTTTAGTGTTACTAAAGCCATTTTCAAAATAACTCCTGAGCCTCTCACTTGGACAATTGTGTTCTCAGATACAGCCCTTCCAGATAATGTCAGGAGATATACAGTGTTCAGTGCATGTCTGAAAGCATCTTGTGAAAAAAAATCTTAATGGTATGATGTTCTTATAATGGAATACTGTGTTAGCTTAACATCAGATATAATGGATCCTGTGTTTATCTGGGTTTTTTTCGTGACCTCCTTGATGAGTCTTGAAATTGGTTTTGTAGATAATGGCTCTAACTGTGGTTTGCTGGAGTTCCAGAGCCTAAGCACTGGCTTTGTAACCCTTTCCAGACAGATAGATTTAAATTACTTTGTTAGCAGCATCATTTGTTGAGACCTTTTGGCCTACTTTGCATTGGCAGACAGGCTCTTTGAACAGGTCTGGACTCTGGCAGTATTCCTGGCTGGGAACGACATCGAACACAGATATCAATTACATTTGGTTGATTTAGAAACTGATGGGGTATATGCTTTTTCACATTGTTCCTTCAGTATTTGAAATAAATTAAAACTGCATTTTGTGTTCAGCTGGGTTATCTTTGTCTAATATTGAAATTAATTTGATGATATGAAACATTTAAGTGTGACAAATATTCAATTATAGAAAAAATCAGGACGGGGGCAAATACTATTTCACAGCATGGCAGATATCTAACATTAGATGGTTTAGCTTGGGATAAGGGCCAGAAAACATGATAGTAGTATCCCTGGTTTTAATACTTTAGGGGTCCTTTGAATATGAAGCGTTAACAAGATAAAATATATGGCACAAAATAAAATAACATATATATTATGGCTGACCTGTGTGGGGCCTTGTCCAGTGAACAGAGCTTTGTAAGCAGAAGCAGCTACTGACAGAGCTCCCTTCACCAGGCCGCTGGTGATGCCTGGGTGCCTAAGGAGGGACAATAAAGGGGTTATTACAAGTATGACATCTATTATGTAAAAGCCTTGGTATTTAAATAGACCCAGACATGTTTTTGCACAAGTAATGATAAGACTTAAGGAGACTGTAGGAGCCTGTAAAACTCCTCTCTCTCTCTCTCTGTGTGTGTGTGTGTGTGTGTGTGTGTGTGTGTGTGTGTGTGTGTGTGTGTGTGTGTGTGAGTGAGAGACCTGGGGTCCTCAGGGTTGTCTTCTGTGCCCTCAGTATCTCTGGTTTCATCTATCTGAGTCTGTTCAGGACCAGATGCTGCAGGACAGTAAAATATCACAGATTGATCAGGTTTCCAAAAATCTGTCAGTAATCATACCTATTTGTTTTAACATATTTAAAACTTTTTGTCAATATCCGCAAGGATGACAAGACTACAGGCTACAGCCTATGTGCAACCTGTCAGATAGTGCTGTAGTGTGTTTGCAGAACTGGTGGACTCTTGCTTACCATCCTCAGTTTGGTACAATTCACAACCCTCGACTCCTTCCCCAGCAGCAGCACTAGCACTAGCAGCAGCAGCAGCAGCAGCAGCAGCAGCATCGTCAGCATCTGTTTCTCCACTGCTCTCTGGACTGTGAGTCAAGATTAAGATATTTTTCAAGCATTCATATCGGTGCAAAAAACTTTCGGGCATGCCCAAAACCTTAGAACAAAAGTAGTTTTGAATCTTAGTTGCACTTGGATGGTAAACAGATGTATTCTACTGGAGAAGGAGCTCTCTAATTTATTGGATCTGGGCAGGGTGGTTCGAAATTGGCTGAAAGTGTAGCCAACACTCCTGAAATGCCAAAAAAAACAGTTGACAGCAAGAGATAATTGAGCCAAAAAGCAATGGTGAGCTGTAGTGGGTAAAACCAACTCCCTGTGATCCATTTCTATAAACTGTATGCAAATCCTGGGGATGTTGTTTTGCACTGAAGTTTACATCTCTGTTTGAGAACTGACATCATGTCTAACCGACCAGTCTTCTCCTCAAAACATCTCTTTCTAATCATAATCATCTATACATTTACTATGCATTTTCTGTTTGTATCTCAGACAAGCAATAATCAAACAAGCTCAACAATACATGTGAAAATTCGGATTGTGAAAGACAATGAGTCCGTATAGGGCTTTTTTTTAAAATAAAATAAAATATATTAAACTTGATAAGTGAATGAAAACTGTATGCCTTTTAAAAAGGGAGCACAACAGAGAGGTGAATATAGGTGCTTTCAGACATGCACTTAACTCGGGAGTTTCTCCAGAGGATGTGTGTGTGATTGCAAACGTCCGAGTGAGAACCTCCGGAGTTTCTGCAGACTATAAAGTCCGTAAAAAGTCCAGAGGAGACGATGTGAGAACACAGCAGGAGATCCTGCACTGGATTCACAGTGTGCAAGTGGAGGGGTTGATGACGTTTCTACCACTAGAGAGACGCAAAAGTGAAAAAAAAACAAACATAGAAGACACTGACAAAGACGTCAGGAGATTTTGTGGTGATAAAAGCTGATGCCGGTGTCGATGCGCTGTAAACTAAAACAGGTGACCTCCGTTGTGGAAATAATAAACTGGTTGGTTAAGCGTGTGTTATCCGGACCTCCCTATCATTGCCCCAATCGATACTGCTAAGACTCTGGCTACAAATGTGCAAGATGGTGACTTTCATGTCTGGGATATTTTAGCTTCATTACTGGATAGTGAGAGGGAGTGGTGACGCATGGCCCATCTTTACATACAATCAAGAATTTTAGACATACTAGACAAATACACCCCTTCATTGCTACTAAACTGTTAATGTAATTAATAATTTCAATAGAATCAAAAAATATACAAGACCCACCATCAGTGTACTACTATTTTAAAGTTAGATGTATTCACCATAATCATGTGCCTGCCGTACGGTACTGTGTTTTATATAGGCCATTCTTTCTGGAGTTTGTATGTTCTCTATGTGTCTGTGTGGGTTTTTCTCTGTGTACTCCAGCCTCCTCTCACAGTCTAAAGCCATACAGATAGGGATAAGGTTATTTGGAGATTCTAAATTGTCCTTAGCTGAGAATGTGAGTGTGAACGTGTTGTTTGTCTCTGTATGTCAGCCCTGCAATACACTGGTGACTTGTTCAGTGTGTATCCTCCCTCTCGCCCAATGTCAGCTGCGTTTGGCTCAAGCTAATCACCCGGAACCCTCAAAGGAGTGGAGATAATGGATGGATGGAGATTATTTTGCATTTTCCTGCTCAAGAACCACAGATGCAAGTTAGCTATACTTAATGATTGTGTTGTACTGTTTATCTAATAAACTAAACTGAATTAAAGTAAAAAATGACACAGGGATTAGAAATAATGGCCCGTCTTATATCTCACCATTAATACTGACCTTGGTGTGACGGTGGCTTTAGGTGGGGCCACCACTTCAGGTGTCAGTGGCTCATCATCTAGCGTTTGAGATGTACAAAGCATGTCATTGGCACTGCTGGTGCCCGACAACTCTGTCCCTGAAGCTGAAGCAGCTTCATTTGCCTCAGCTACTCCTCTGTCCTCAGCAGTACTGCCTGGATGGTCAGTAAGGTCAGAAGTCGGAGTATCAGGGTCTGTGGGGGACTTGGCTGTGATGTCACCAGGCTGGGACAGAGCAGAGCTGTAACAGGACAAGGAATTGGGGATTAAAGGGACAGCAAACAACATCTAGCCACCATGTTGGAGTCACTTCACCCACAAATTATCACGACAACACATGGTGACCAGTTCTGTTACTCCTGGCACATACCTGTACATGGACTCCCCCAGTGGTCGGGTGGTGTCAAAGCAATCAGGGAGGATGATGATGTAATCTTCTGAAGAGGTGGAGGAGGAGCGACTTCGCCTCCCTTCTCTCTTCTCCCCTCCTTCGTTCTCCTTCTCCTCCTCTGGCTCCTTCTCCGTCTCCTTCACCCTGGGCTCGACACAGATGCTCTCCATGTGGGACTCTTCAACTTCATCTGCATTAGGATAAAAAAAAAAGGTTCAATGTTTCAATGAAAACACACAAAACTGGAAGGACAGTGAGCCAATAAAGCTGTTTTCAGACATGAACTGGGGAGGATGTCCGCACAATTGTGTCCGGACTTTGTCTCTGGACTATTTGTTGTCGAGGGTTACAGTGACCTTGACTTTTGACCAAATCAATTGTTACTAGAAATTGTTTGAGTCTAAGTAAATGTTTGTGCCAGATGTAATGAAATTCTTTCCAGGCATTCCTGATATATCAAGTTCACAATAATGGGACGGACATTAGATTACAGTGACTTTGACCACCAAACCATAATTGTTTCATCCTTAAAGGCGCAAAGAGAGCCAAACAAGAAGAAATTCCCTCATAATGTTTTCCTGAGAATGGGACTGATGGACAGAAACATGACATGACATAAAATCATCATGCTACTCAGGTTTGCAGAGACAACAAATGGTTATCATTTATATATATGCTGGTCAACTAAAAGACAATGTTTTTTTTCCACAAATCAATACATTTACCCCTTTTTATCAATTCTGTCATTACTGAAAAAATAAAAGACAAAAAACGATGCAACTATACAACAAGTGATGGGTGAGTGGGTGAAAAATAATTTAGTTTTCCCATTGAACTGTGAATAAAAAGCAGTTTCATCAAAAATCTCAGTGTGAATACATGATTCACAAGTCATGACCAAAATGCCCGTATAAACCTCCATTGAGGCCACATTGAACACATTGAACGAACACTCAGCTCAACAACTTAACCACTGTGTTTTCCTGCACTTACCTGTGGCTGTGGAGGCCCTGGCTGAAGCAGGAAGCAGGGTTGGTGCCGAGTTGGGGCCAGGCCCTGGGGTCAGAGCCACAGACATGGGAGCAGGTAGGGATGCTTTCAGTGGGTAAGGGAGGGAAGCCTTCAGTGTAGCCGGTGGTTTAAGGGTGTTGTTGGAACTGCTGGGGTTACTGTCTGGAGTCTCCTCTGTTTTCAGTGTTTTGCTCTTCACGCAGGAGGAGGAGGAGGAAGAGCCACCCTGAGCAGCTGGACGTGCCACTGAGAGTAAACAGGAGGATAACTGTTAGACACTGTGACACTTTTCTCTTTCAGTCACATGCAAAAAATATTTAAAAAAATATATATATGCCAAACTAGTTCACACTACTTTTTACCAGCAAAAGTACTTGGGACGGGTTAGTGATTAGTGACATTTAAGTCCATTTGGGTACAAGAGAGGAGGTAGCTTAAAAAGCAGTGGAAGGAAGACTCATAAGAGCAGAAGGAGGGAATTAACATACTGCAGGAGAACATCAAGAGCCGATTGAGAGCACCTAAGAACAGCCCGGAAAAAAATGAGCAAGAACAAATTTCTTTATAGACCCCTTTAAGTTTGTGAAATCTCTCTTCTACACAAAGATGGGAGGAACCCTGAGGACGAAGCAGGACGAAGAGGAGCACCTGAAAAGAACACACTCTGATCCAAAGAGACATGATCTGATAACTATTCCATCTGATATCCCAGCCATTGAGCAGCCGGAACACCAAATGGACGTCACCAGCCCCAGGCCTGAATGGTGTCGCATACAGGGTATAAAAGAATGCTCTTGATGTTTTATGCTTGTTGTAGAAATTAATGAGAGTGGCATGGATGAAGCAAACAATCCCAAAAGCTTGGCACAGAGCTGGAGGAGTACTGATACCAAGAGAGGAGGAATCCTCAAACATCAGCCAATTTCGGGCCATCAGTCTCCTCAATGTAGAAGGCAAGCTCTTCTTTAGCATCATAGTCCAAAGGCTGACATCTATTTGTTAAAAAAACAAGCTGGAACTGTCCAAAAAGCTGGTATTCTGGGGTTTTCTGGATGTTTCGAGCACACCAGCTGCAGAATGTAAACTGTGAGATAGCTGATGTGAGAACCGGATCTAAGACAGAGCTCAATCATTTTGATGCGAAAATACCACAAAAAGCAATTTGACCAGCTAGCTGCTAACGTAGATGGCAACTTACCAACAACTAACTTCTGCTTAAGGAACAAAATGATGAAAGCAGTGGGAGTCAAAAACAGTGGAGCTGTAAACTATGCTGAATAATGCTCAAATCCATTTCAATCAAATCCAAATGTGTCAAACCCTCTCAACACCACTTTATAAAAAACTCAAGCACAGAAAAAAGAAATCAAATATCCCTATGTTCTTTTAGGAGTATTTCTTTAGGTTTCACAAAGTTAAATTTAAGATTTTAAATCTGAATAATAAATAAAATAAATAATAATGAATTCAATTTAAGATTTTTGTCAAGTATGACATACGCCATACTTATATGACACCTAGTATGTAAAACAGATTCAAGCCTTTTTATAGCCAAAAGCCCTGTAGGCCTAAATTTGAGTAGAAGCTAAAATAAAATGTCAGAAAGCTCTGTGATTGGTGGTGCTTCTATTGTTTTACAGACAGGCTTGTCAATACAATCAAATATCATTACACCTGTAAGAGGGCAGAATTTTTACGAGTTGTAGTGTTGTCTAGCAAAGGGCTTAGCTGCTTCAACATAGGGGGGTGGTGTTCCAGCTTTTTCATTATTCAACTTCAGTGAAAGTTTGCAGTGGAGCAGAGCGTGAGAAATTTGGCCAAGATGAAGTTTAGCTCCAGGACTCTTCCCCAAACTGTTCAGAGACAAAAGCAAAGGTCGTAACAAGAGGGAACAAAAACTTGCTGGTAGTTAAGTTCCTGTGGTGTAGGATTCTGACAAACCAGTGAATTCATATTTTCAACATTCTTCCCCAAAACAAATGTCATGACACACGAGGGGAATTACATCCGCAGCCTTTATGATATGTAGTATGACTGGTTTCCTGGTTTTTATTGAATGTTCCAAAATGATCAGTTTTCAAAATAATAATTTCTTTACCAACTGTGACGGCGGGGTGTGGTTAGGGCGCAACTGCTGGACGACAGGGAGGAGTGGCTCAGCCGGTGATCGGACAGGTAATCAGTCAATCAATAAGAGCATGCTGGTAACCTGATTCTGGTCTCTTGCAGTAGGCTGGGCTTCTGACGCGGGAGCAGACCAAAAAACGTGTGGACGTGTGTGGGTCGAGAGACCCTATTAAATGTGTGTGCGCCTGACGAGGCGGAGGTTAAAAATAAAGGACTGTGAACAGCCATCCTCGACTAGCCATCTTTTCCCGGAGTGGGCCGAGTATCCCCACAGTGGTGCCTGAACAGGGACAAGATCCTGCCCCATGGGGGACATCTGAGAACCAGTAACGAGAGGACAAGTGTTCTGAGGCAAAGATGAGAGAGCTCATTGACCAGCCCTGTGTGTCCTTCTCTACCCACACTGTCACATTTAACAATGTCTTCTTCAGCTTGTCCTCAGCTGATCACTGACAAACATCAAACCCTTGAGACACGTATACCTTTTTAGAAGGCTTTCAGGAGTGGGGACAGGGATTGGTTTAAAGAGTCCAAGTACAAGTTTAGCACTTCCTGTCTGATATAAGGCAGCATGTGAAGCTGGGGAAACATGTCTCTGGTCCCCGGACCATCAGCATTGGATCCCCCAAGGGTGCATTGTTTCTCCGCTGCTCTACTCCCTGTACACGAACAGCTGCACCTCCAGTCACTGATCTGTCAAGCTCCTGAAGTCTGCGGACGACACCAGCCTCATCAAACTCATCTCTGGTTGGGACGAGTCTGCCTACAGGTGGGAGATCGCCCACCTGGTGCAGTGACAACCACTTGAAGCTCAACACTCTCAAAACAGTGGAGATGACTGTGGACTTTAAGAAGAGCCAAGTCCAGCCCACCCCCATCATCCTGTGTGACTCTCCAGTTGATACTGTGGAGACATTCCGCTTCCTGGGCACCTTCATCACCCAGGACCTGAATTGGGAGCTGAACATCGGCTCCCTCACCAAAAAAGCCCAGCAGAGGATGTTCTTCCTGCGGAAGTTGAAAAAGTTCAACCTGCCAAAGCAGATGATGGTGAACTTCTTCATTGCGAACACTGAGTCCATCCTCACCTCATTCATCACCGTATGGTACGCTGCTGCTACTGCAAAGGGTAGGGCCGGGCCAGACTGCAGCGTATCATATGCTCTCCAGAACCTGTACATCTCCAGGATTCTGAGATGTGCAGGTAAGATTGTGGCCGACCCCTCCCACCCTGGACATGTTAAAAGTGTCAACACCCCCCACTCGCCCGCAGTGACTCCAGCAGAGAGTGTGTTCTGACATCAAGTCCTCCGGACATTCGACGGACTTTATACAAGGGGACCAGTTAGAGCACATACACCTCCCCCTCCAGAAGAACTGTGGAAGATCTCAGTTCAGTGCAAGTATATGTGCAGCTTATCTTAACCCCAACAAAATTCCATCTAAGAGCTAAAAAAGTAAGAGTAAGAAAACTCCATTACCCATGATGCTGTTGATGACCTCTGTCTCTTCCTGGATCAGACCCAAAGACGGACTGCTCTTGTCCTGCAGGAGGCCATCTTGAGGAAGAGGGGATATGCAGGGAGTCATGTCTGAACAGAGGAATTGATCAGAGAGAGAATATTTACAACAACTCCAGTCTGGCACAGGCTACCTTATTTGTAAATGGTAAATGGTTTGTATTTATATAGCGCATTAATACTGGTTCAAAGGGATCAGCTTTTGAACACTTAAGCAATTAGTGTTTGCACAGACATGAGTGCCTCAGGTATGATAAGGTTTTTGAAATAATCACTTTTTGTGTTTGTGGATGTAGACATTGTTTCAGAAACTTGGACAAGCCCTTAAAATGGTTTTGAATGGACTGAGTTACATTAGACTTAATGACCCTTCAAATAGCTTTACACAACAAGAAACCACCATTCACACATTCATACAGAGCCTCTTTATGCTGCGCTTTTCTATCACACCTCACTTACATACTGCTGGCACAGCCCCCAGGGACAATTTAGCGTTCAGTGTCTTGCCCAAGATCGAGCCCAGGCTGAGCTCGGCCAGGTTTGGAAAAATGTTTTGAATTATATTTGGGTTTGATCCCGTTGGCTAAGCTGTGTACTTTATTTTTTTAACGCTGCATGTGCCTGTAATCAGGGGTAGCTACTGTTGGGTTCAGACACAAAAAACTGAATTCCAGTCAAAATCAGGAAACCAGATAAGATACTCTGTGGCTTAATTGGATTCAGACAGAAGATTGCAATCTAGTGCAGACCCAGAGGTTTCTCTGTAAGAAAACTTAGCTAGATTAATGACTCAAATGTGACAGTTTACAATGCGCTTGATTGCCAACGTATTCAGGTCAACAGCCATAATAAAATTAATATTAAGGTCAAAAATTACAGAATGGTCAGATTAACCCTTTAAAAATCAGTCTTCATGAGTAGTATGCTGTAATCACTAACACTAGTCACGACACTTGTTGTGTAGGCAGGGAATTGCAAAACCAGATTTGTAAGTGTTATAAGTGTTTTAATATATTGGTATAAATCGTTGAATTTAGTTTAAACAATTTAACAACTGAAATATTGATATCATGTTAATAGTACACATATGGCAATATTGTGTAAACACCCGTAAAGTTAGAGCCATTTGATTCTTATATTATGTTATATTATATATGTGTAATATATAGTCTTATATATATGACATGTTTCTTGTAAAAACACAAAGCTATGGAGGAAATTGTTGCAGGTATTGACTCGCATTTATAGTCACACGCCACAGTAGCTGGTTGGTAAATGTCCTCTTTGTTATCAGGTTGCTCCAATAAGTCTCTTAGGACTTTGCAGCTAATTCAGAATGCTGCTGCACGTGTTCTAACAAGAACCAAGATCAGAGATCACATCTCTCCCATTTTGGCTTCTTTTACATTGGCTACCGGTTAAATCCAGAATAGAATTTAAAATTATCCTCCTTACATACAAAGCTCTTCATGGGCAAGCACCATCATATCTTAAAGAGCTCATGGTACCCTACTATAGGCCTGGGCCGATAATCAATAAATCAATTAATCGCAYGATAAATTAAAATGAACTCTGTTCTCTGGGTTCACTCTGTGCTCGGTCTCAGCACCTGGGGGCGTTGGTTGCGGAATGAACGGAGTGAACCATCTTGTCAGTCATCCAGCCTCTTTGTCTCTGTGGGGGGAAGCGGGGCCGCTAGCATTAGCCACACATGCTACACACACAGAGTGCAGCGAGTGAGCGTCGTGCGGAGCAACGCGAGGAGAAAAGATGATTGCAAAGCCAAACGCCACAGCCCCGGTGTGGGAAGGTTTCGGCTTCTAACCAAATGAGCAAGGTGAGCCCATCAACACGGACGAGCCAGTTCAAAAGTGGTGGCAACAAAAAAAGGCAACACAACAAAGTTGCATGCCCACCTGAAGCATCACCACCCGACCCAGTTTAACCAGCTGGGGAAACAAAGTGCAGCTCGAGATGCAGAGCCTTCGTCCCGACAGTCAACACTCACCGAGGCGTTTGGTCGACAAAGTCAATATAAACGGAACAGCGCAAAATGGTGTTCGCTCACAGAAAGTGAACTTCGCTACATCGCAAAAGGTCAAAAACACTGAGAATAATTCGTGTGACAATATATCGTCCAGCAAAATTAGTTATCGTCCCAGGCCTACCCTACTACCCCTCCAGAACACTGCGCTCTCAGAATGCTGGGTTCCTTGTGGTTCCCACAGTCTCCAAAAGGAGATTGGGAGCCAGAGCTTTCAGTTATCAAGCTCCTCTTCTGTGGAACAAACTACCATTTTGGGTTCGGGAGGCAGACACGGTCAACACTTTTAAGAGTAGACTTAAGACTTTCCTCTTTGATAGAGGTTATAGTTAGGGCTGGCTCAGGTCAGCCCTTAGTTATGCTGCTATAGGATAAGAATGCCGGGGACATATGTTTTGTCAGTTCTCTTGGATTTTTTTCACTGTAAAGTGGAACAGGTCTTAATGGTTACAGACTCTCTTTCCACTGTGATTAATTATTTTGCCGAAAAAGGGCAAAACACAAGTATACAAGTGGACAAATATAGTATATATTATATAAGTATATTACTGAAATGATATTTTCTATAAATATCCTGATAACAATGTTATTGTGAATTATTTTGGTAACAATTATTGTGTAGTGAAAATGTGATATTATGACAGCTCTATCTTTAATACGATCAACAGTGGGATTAGCCTCATACTCGGAGTACAACACACACTCTCTGGACACAATCACTTTGAACCACTAAAACCCCTCTTACCAGCAGGGGTGTTGTTTGGGACACTCTCCAACTCTTGAACGATGTTGATGTCTAGCAGCTCAAAGGAGAGAAGATCCTGACAGATAAACAACATCAGACAGCTAATTAAAGAAGCAGTTGAGCAGCATTATGGGAAATATAGGAGATGGTGTTATTTGAAGTGAAATTTGAAGACATCAACTTGTCGTCTATTTTCAGTTTTTACAATTAATATATTGTTTTACTGGAAGGGAAACAAGGGGGCTTTTGATAAAAGAATTTGAAAATGTTTGACATATACTTAGAACGCAACATACCAACATCTTTAAATACATCTCTTGATGCACCTGAACACATCATCAGGTTACATCACTGTTGATGTGTTAGGTGCATCGGGAGAATCAGCATATAACAGAAGATAATTGAATAGTTAACACAGAGATCCTATGGCAGAACTTAGTCTGTATCTAGTTCGGGTACACAGCTTCTCATCATGTTCTTTTTTTCTGTTGGCTCGCTTTTTAGTCTATCCTTACTCCCTAATTAACATTATTGTGCAGTTTCATGGAAAAAGTTAACCTGAATCGAGCTGAATTACAGAGCTTTTATTTTGAAACGTTGTGAACTCAGGTCTGAAGATTGTGTTGATTGCTTAACTGAACTCTGAAATACCCGGCATGCAATGTATGAAAAATAACAGCAGTCAGGAAAACCATTCAAACGTGTATATATAAGCAACACACATGAACAGTAATAAAGCACAATCAGTGTAATTTTTATGAAAAATGTTGACAGTCAAATCTTCATTGCAAATAAACCAGGTAGGATGAACACATACATTGTCTAACTTCACTCTGCACCACGCACTGTTTATAAAAAGCTCTGCACACAACGTCCAGCACACAAACAACAAAAAAGGGTGACAGTATATTGTAGAACTGTTTGGAGAGGACTCACTGATGACAAGAACATCTTTCTGAAATAGCTATAGAGCATTTACACAGGCCAAGCCAACAGCCATGTTTAGAAATGCACTTATATATGTATATTACATTTGCACAAGTCTAACTGCAAAAAGCACACCAGCATACTGTATGTGCTTTTACCGGAGGTTCAGCGACTTTAATGTTGATGTTACCTTTATGAAAATGTTTTATTCCTGCATGTTTACCTTTATCTGTTGGTTTGGTTATTGTCTCTAAAAAACAAAAATCGAATACAGGGCATTGTTAAATTGTGCAGCAAAATAACCATCAGGAAGGCTCAGTCAGTTTTATCCAATTCATTCATTCTGAGTCACCCACTTTATAAAGAGTTTGTGTTGCATCCCTCCGGTCATAAATTCTTTCAGCCTAAATGCAGGACAAACAGATTTGCAAGCTAATTTGTCCCTGCTGCCATCGGCCTTTTAAAGAAGCCTTTGTGATTTTTAGATAATTTTTGTCATGCACTGATTGCTGGTGGTACAACAAATTGCCCCTCTGGGATAATAAAGATTTCTTAATTTGACTTGGTTATTTCAGAGAGAGCTGACATCAGATTTGGCATTGGCCAAGTTAGCCTGTTCAGCTTGTGGAAAAAGTAGAAATAAATATTAGTTGGAGCCCTAATGCAAAGTGTACAGCAGTGTTGTGATTGTTGTTACCTGTGCAGTGAGCAGGTCTACAGAGGGGATGAAGTACTCTTCCTGGTCCACTGACATTAAAGGCTGCTCTCTAGAAGCTGTGCAGGCTTTTCCATCCTTGGCCACTGGGTTCTTACCCTGCACGAAGAAATAATAATAATTTCATTTAGATTAGTTAGTATTTCTCTGTGTCTCTCACTACGTGTTTTTCATCAAAGACTATCCACTTACATTTTGGAGATAGTGGCTAAAAAGACATAATATTATCATGACACCTATACAACTCCACTCCTTTTAGGCTAGTGGATTACACTCAAAATACTAAAAAATACCTACTATGTTGGAGAGTGAACCAGATCGTTAATGTGAAAAGAAAAGGAAACTTCTTAAGAGGTGTTTGATTAATTACAAAACATAAGCATATGTTTATAATTAATATAATGTCAAAATAATTGTTTTCATATATCATGTGTAAGGACACCCCCAATACATGTCTTTATAGTATATTTCTGATTTATATGACTGATTTTCAATGAAGTCCTTCGATGTTCATACACCTATTTCTTTTACCTGTGGTGTGACACAGGGTGACACCAGTATCCCATCAGCCATCATGGGTGCAGGGGCCAGAGGGTCAACCACGATACTGCACCACACCCTCGGTCCAAACTGCTCCCCAGCGTGGGCCAGGCGCCAGTGGGAGGTGTAGGAGCCCTCCACAGAAGGAGCACACAGAGCTACGCTCACTATTCCAACCTAAATATGCAGAACAAATGAAGTTGGTTAGCAAAATCAAGGAAAGCAAGCATATACAACAAGGGTCAGGGGGCAGTAATGTGCCGACGAGATCCATGTAATTCAGTGCCACATAGAGAGAGCAAGAAATATGATGTAGGTAAAAAATTCAGCATGCTTCTCTAAAGATAATTGAAAATGAAAACTTCCCTCTTGATATCTTACCTGTCCTGGCTGAAGGAAGGGAACAGACACTTCTCTCCAACGGTCCCCAGATCCCACCGCTAGGTTCCCCCACATGAATTTCAACTGCAAGAAACAAACAGTGATGCTCAACTTAAGACTAACCCTCACCCTATGTAATGGTGTCACAAAGAATTATCACAGATTCTGCTGTCCACTCAGCGTATCGATTCTGTTTTAACAGCCCGCAGCTTTACTGTTTGAGTCTCACCACCCTCATCAGCAGCAGCAGGCAGCTGATTTGAGTGAAAGAGCTCTGAGGGACCTACTGTCCACTGCCTGCTCATTACCAAACAGCAGACAGACACAGTCAGAGAGCAACTGGTGAGCAGAGTGGAGAAATAGCCAAATATCTCAGAAGCTGGTGGAGATGAAAGAAAGTGTTTAAAGAGAAATCGAGACATCCAATTACCAGGTAGACACAAATACAACTTCAAGTCAATCTTAACATGTAAAAAGGCAACAACAGCAATTTTCTTATATTAAACTCACACAAAACAGAAGTTGTAATACTTGGTCCCAAACACCTCAGAGATGCATAATCTAATGATATAGCTTGTCCTGATGGCAATCTCCCTTCCCTTAAGTGAAACCACCAGGAACCTTTCTTTGATCCAGATTATCCTTCAGTAAGATTAGTAAAATAGGCATGCCTAGATATGCTGCTATAGGTCTAAAATGTTGGGGGGGACACATGGAGCTTCTCTTTCCTCTTTTTTCTCCTCATTACTTTAATTTCTTCCCTGAGTCCTTGAGCTTTATCGTTTGCAGATCCAGGATCACGGCTGCGGTCACATCGTGGCTCATGGATCATGCAACATGGTGGTAGCTCATTGTGGATTATGATTAAAACTAGATTGTTCAAATATACAATATCCCTACTCATATATAGTATGATATAATAGGCAATACCTCTATCATTACAATTGTCATTACTGCTCCCTTCATCTGTCAGAATTTTTCTTAAACATAAATACTTAACACATTGATACACCTCTCATTTATATTAGACACTGTCTTTTCCCATCAATGTGGTAAAAGTTGTTATTTTGGTTTTACACGCAACATATATTGCATTTCTGTCCATCCTGGGACAGGGATCCCTAACTTGTGTCAGTCTCTGAGGTTTTTTTCCCTTTGTTTTATAATAGTTGTTCCAAAATCTGACCTTCAAATAATCTGCTGTACATCTGGAGCCACAGTTGCCTCCTATAGCTTTAAACTCAATTGGGTCAGATGAGAGCGTATTGACCAACCAATCCATCCAAACCAATGCTGCCAGGAGGATAAGCTCTAATGAGTTGCAGAGTGGTACTGTTGAGGACTTTACCTTAGTTTCAGCACTCCAGCTGATAGTCCCAGTGTTCCTCATCTTCCAGTACTTAATAAACTTAGTCCCAGGACGCAGTCGGGTTCCATCAGGAAGGTTCTCATCCAGAAATGCAGCCGTCATGGTTGGAACCACCAGTGGACAGGGACGCTTTGGACGCCTGGGCAAGAAATAAAATCAATTTTTTCAGCATTTACCATAAGTTTTTAGTTAAGAGACTTTTTTATTTTTATCAGTGTTTAGGCATCATATGTGGCAACTCCCCGCAAATTGAAACAAATTTATGTGAATCATTTTACTCTTTAGGGCATGTGTTTTTGGTGACCTACTCTGGGCTGTTGTGCTGGGTGGCTCGAGGCTGCAGAAGGACAGGGGAGGAGCTTCCATCTCTGTGGGAAGAGCTCCACTGTATGCCCCGCCTCTCCATCCTCAGCTGTTTGCGGATCTCTTTGACCTCGGCTTTAAGCAGACGTTTCTCTGCTTTCAGTCGCTGCTTCTCCGCCTTCCTGAAACTGCGGTCACCTCGCCTGTAGAACCTGGAGAGAGAAAAAATAAAACAAGGATGAACTGGGGTGACAAGCCCACAGGCTCAAATTGGCAGAGGACCCCTAAGCCAGGCTGTGTGAAGTGAAATTTCCTACTAGAGAGATTTAAATTTTGTACATTGATTTATAGAATATTTTAAATCTGATTTCCTTTACCAGGCGCAATTATTGGGTAGAAATGTTGTATAAAAGGACCCAGCCTCTGTTCATTTCAAAACACAACTATTTATGTTTATGTAGTACTACCAAATAAATCACTTCGTTCCCAAAACACAGGCTCTCTTGTGGTTCCAAGAGTCTGTGAGAGTAGAACAGGAGGTAGAGCATTCAGCTACCAGGCTCCTCTCCTGTGGAACCAGCTCCCACTCTGGGTTCAGGAGACAGACACCATCTGAGCATTTAAAGTTAAAATTAAAACTCTTCTCTTTGATAAAGCCTATAGTTAGTTCTGGATCAGGTGAGTCCTGAGCCATCACTTAGTTATGCTGCTATAGCATAACTGCTATAGCAGCATAACTAAGACTGCTGGGGGAACTCCCATCATGCACTGAGCCCTTCTTCACTTCTGTCTCTCTGCCCCCCCACACTCATTTATTTATTTTAATACATGTAAATAACTGTCACTTTTTTCTCCCATAGTCCCTCTCTCATTTCAGATATCTCTGACCCTAACAACTGTTACTAATATCACTATTATAACAACCATACTTCAGTAACTAATTATTACGTGAATTGTGACTGTTATCAATAATAATCAATAACTTCTTTACACTGTTGTTTACATTTGAACTAGTCAGATCTGATACCTGATGGATCTCAAGTGTTCCCAGTCTCTCTGGCCTCTCTCTATCTCCCCCTCCTCACTATCTCTCTCTCTTCTCTCCCCTCTTTTCCACCCATCTCTCCTCTCCCCCCCTTTTTTCTCTGCTCACCCCAACCGGTCGAGGCAGATGGCCGCCCACATTGAGTCTGGTTCTAGAGGTTTCTCTCTGTTAATGAGGGAGGTTTTCCTCCACGGTCGCAAAAGTGCTGCTCATTGTGGGAACTGTTGGGTTTCTCTATATTAATACCATTTTAAGGATTTTAAGTTCCTTGAGATAATGTATATTATGATTTGGCGCTATACAAATAAAATTGAATTGAATTGAATTGAAAGACTAAACAAGCTGTATATAATTACAGACCATTTACATTAGTTCAAGCTGTTCAAAACTGAGGTCCTTGTAATTACTTTATACTACTACTACATTTGATTTTGAACAGTAAGAATAAATTAATAATATATAATCAGACTTTTTGTAGAAGGGACATGTTTACTTTATTTAGAGTTTGTTGATGACTGTTAAAAGGTGGTAAATTATGGAATTTACTTGTACTTTTTTTTTTATTCAGTGTTGTTACATTTAATTATGTGAAGGATCTTAATACTTACTCTGAATCTATGAAATCAATTTTGTTTATACTACTCAGTATTTGACTCACACATTATTAACACTTATTGCTGCATATTGATTTTCTATGGACTTTACAAATGAATAAATTGAGCAGAAATTATGTACATGTTTATTTGCATATGGAGTGAGGAAATGAGATCACATGTGAAAACATATTCTAATGTCAGGTGAGAAGTGAGGAACTATGAGCTTTCCTGATCGAGTCACCTGAGATGCAGGTTAAGACCAGATCTGAACAGGGCCTATAAACCCGAGGCTGTAAATCTTATTGCTTTAAACCAAAGTCTGCATTGAATAATGTGATTTTGTTTCTTCCAGAGGCTTCTTCCCCTTTACGTCAAAATTCTAATTATTTAAAGAACTGAAAACAAGATAAAATGGGGTCGTACTTGCTGTGGTCAGGGGCAGGTGATCCGTGTTCGGGGATGGACAGAGGAGTCCTCGCTCTCACCAGGTTGTGACTGGGATCATGAGAGAAACTGCAGGGCTCGCACAGAGTACAGGATGTACACACACTGATGAGAGACAGAGACGGAGGGAAGAAGGGCAGGCCAAGAAGAGAGGTACAGAGAGCGTAGAGAGATAGTTAGAAAAAGGAGGGCAAAGCAGAGGATTGAAAGGGTAATTCTAAAGAGCTGACTATGAGTACACAGTTTTAATGCCTACCATGACAATATAAACTTTGGAATCCCATGACAGAGGTCTGTTTATGTTCCTATATAATTTAGCAGATTTCTGTAAGATCAAGCAGATTGGCTGGAGTAAGACTGTTCAGGTTAACAGTCCCATCCTAATGTCTGAGATATCAGGGGAAGACTTGATGCCAGGGCCACACTGGATGTGGAAAATGGAATTTAGGCGTCGGTGTTATCAGGTAACACTGCCAGTTTGAGAGACGCATGTCTCAGCAATGTCCCAAGAGTGAAATAGTCGGGTCTCACCAGTTCTATGCGTATCATGTTCGGTTCACAGCGAAATAGACTGAAAATAATATTTTACCACAGTTTCACTCTCTATCTATTGGATATGTCACACATAAATGTTTGAAACGTGTACCTGTTTCAAAGTAAAAGCACAGTCGCCTTAATTTTGTTATGTTATTGTAAGACCTGAAGATACACGGCTTTATACTGTAGTGTCCTGGAATTCAGTTGAGTACATGAGCCTACTTTTATTAAAGGATATAAAGTAGTCAAACCAGAAACCCACGTTGAAGGTCCAACACTGTCTACAGGCTCCTCCGCTCCCTGCTCTTATCATTCTCTCAAAATACAGAATTGACTTTCACAATGCACCTGTCAAGCTTCAGACTTTGTCTTTGACAAAAGCTTTACAAGATGAACTTAAAAAAGACATCACGTCAACATGTAAAATACCATACACATAATTACTAATGCTACATCACAATGTAAAAAGCATCTTTTGAATCAATGATTATTTGCCAAGGGACAGAAATTTTCTATGCAGAGACTGTGGCCTTCATTTAGAGAATGGTTCAAGTATGAAATTGACCGATTACCTGGAAAACATCCAATTATAGCACAATCCTAATCCAAGAGCAAGAAAAACAGTTCCATTTATCATGTACCAGATATTTGTCTTATATTCAGTTCAAGATCAAGAAGTATTTGTGAATAAAACCCACTGAGTCTCAAATAAACAAAAACCCACAATTGTTATGCAAAATATCTAAACAAATCTTGACTGTTTTATGTCATTTAAAAAAAATGTTCATGTTTGCTGCAGATATTAGTTGTTCTTTAAAACCACCCACAGCAAAATACCAAGCAACAAACTACTCTCACTCCTGTTCAGTTGTTTCACATTAAAAGTAATTTAGCAAAGTGAGGGAATATGCCCACAAAACTGCAGAAACTGTTTCATTGACAGTAACTTAATAATGTCTATCAATGACAATGACAGCAGGACTTAATTTGTGACTTTGCACTCATTTAGGTGATGCACACATTCAAAGTGACTTGGAATTAGCCAATAAGCTGCTGAGAACATATATACCTGCACTGGTAGCCTCCTCCGGTGGTCTGTCCCCTGCAGGAGGAGCAGGGAGGAGTGGAGGAGGATGGTGCTCCAGGGAGGGCAGAAGACACCTCAGGAACCTGCTGTGCCTCTGCCCCACCTACTGCTTCCCCTCTACCTCCTCCTGCTCCACCTGCTGCCCCTCCCACTCCGAGGGGCTTGTGGATGCAGCACTGTCCAGAGAACTCCCTGCAGATCTTCTCCACTGCCTCCCGAACCACCTGGTCCTTAAACTGCATGGACGAATTCATGAGAGCATAAGAATCCATGTCTGTGTTTCTCCAGTGTCCAGCGACGGTGTGACATTTTTACCTTCTCCATGTAGGAGGTGAACCACGCTGGAGGAGTCTTGTCTTCTTCTTTGGTGCCTTTCACTTCTTTCATGATCACCTGATCAACAGGAGAAGAGAATATTCACATCTTTATCAGTATTACCTCCGCTACGTTTGTTTGTGCACTTCACTTCCTGTCTGTGTCTGGTTGCCCTCCTTTGTTGATTATCTACCTCGCCTTAATAGTTTCACAGTGTCTTGTTAACCTGGTTTATATAGACTCTGTGTTTCCCTTTGTCAGTTTGTCTGTTCTTAGTTTATCAGCATTGTCCTTGCAGAGTTATTAGTTTCTTGTGTGTGTTCAGCTTGAGAGTTTTAAATACCACTGCTTTCTTGATTGTCAACCTGTGCAACCTACCTCAAGATTCAAGATTGTTTTATTTGTCACATACACAATCATACACAGTACAATGCGTAGTGAAATTGTTTTTGTTCCTGCTACCAGAATAGTAATGAATTTAAATATGAAGAAAATAAAGACTAAAACTTTTTTTTTTAAACTTAAAACTAACTATCATGCAACGAATAGGTGTGGCATTATATTTACTGGCAGCTGGTTTCAGTGGCTGGAGAAATTATCTGTTTGGTATGTGCGGTGAATAAAAAGTGGCATAATTTTCCTGGCCAGCTACATGAGCTAGTGACAGAAAAATGGAGACAAACGGGATGAAACTGATGCTGCTGTTGTTATCAGTTGATTTAAAGTAAAACTAGAATTACTTCCCTACAGTTGTGTGTATCAACTGTGGAAGTTTCAGTTCCTGCAAGCATTCCTGACATACTGCATTCACTGTATGTCATTTGAAATTAAATCAGTTCATGCTTGAGTCCAAGTAAACATTTGTGTCAAAAAGATTCCCCTCAATGCGGTGTTAAGGCATTCATGAGATAAAGACTTTCATGAGGTCACAGTGACCTTTGACCTCTAAATCTGCATCAGTCCATTCCTGAATCCAAGGGAATGTTTGTGCCAGATGCCGGCACAAAAAATAAAAAAAGCTAAATATTTATTAGATCACTGAGAAAATTACAAGCCGGACTTGAACAATTAGCTGTCACTGAAGATTTTCTCCTCGCTCTGATGAACACAATGTCAACCTCAGTGAATAAAGTGAACTAAATTCAATGAGATTACCAGGCTAAAGTTAGCAACATATTCAATGAAACAAATATAAAACAGTAACAATATACAGTAAGTTTGTCCAACTCTTATCAGGGGTAGCTGAGTTATCATCCCTGATGAATGAAGAAGAAAAGCACAAATATGTGCCCTGCATGTGCTTCTGTTTGTAGGGGGTCTTACCATGCCCTGTTCTGGCACTGCAGCCTGGACCTTGCGGCTGACTACCTGGGCCAGGGTGGGGCAGTGCTGTGGTGGTCTGAAGCCTCGCTTGGGCTCTGCTCCACTGGCCTTGGTGGCGGGGACCCTCGCAGACTGACCTCGAGTCTCATACACGTTCATGTGCAGTCGGTTTCCCTGCCTCGCTGCACTCTGGGAAACAAAAGTGAAGGGGTCAGTCACAACTGCTGCATGTTTGGATGAATTTCTCAAATAAGCTGAATCTCTGTACAGCTGACAACATGCTAGAGGAGATATCATGGAGACTGGTTTCTCCTGAGGCATTGCTGTATGTGGTACCACTGGATATAGCAATCAAAGAAAACACTGGATTAGCTCAGAAATAAAGGTGAAGCATATGTAACCCTGTCATAATAAATAAAACCAGTACTTGCCAGTGTTGCTGTGTGGGTGCTCTGTTTTAGAGAGTGTGTCCCGGTTGTATGTATTACATTTGAGATGCGGTTTGACCTGTCTCTGAGTATCTGCGTACATTTTGTGAATAGAATAACATTCTTTATACTTTTTTCTCCTGTTGGGTTAAGCACATGTCTTTGCGTGGGCTGTTTGTTCTTCAATATTGATGAGCTCCAACAACAAATACAGCTGCTCCACCTCGGTCGCCATTGTTTAACTGTTGTTTACTTTACGGAAGAAAAAGCGAGGATTCGGCTATAACCACACAAAYACACCGCTACACCCCCTAGCGGCATGGCGGTGAATTGCAGAGCAACGCGTTCCCTCGACGCAGAACTTCGAATGCTCAACGACYKACGGCGTMGGTACGGCGTCGACGTGACGCAGAAGCATAAACTAGGCTTTAGTCAGCATGTGTTTGATGAGATATGGTCTATTGTTGAGCTGTGGGTAAGAACAGGTCCAGCTGCATGCTAGACTAGACATTGTAGCAGATAAACCAGTTAATGCTAGTGTTATACTTTTCACCTCTGTAAGGGTCTGAGTGACTTGACTTTCATCATCAGCGGGTGTACACGAGGCTTTATATCCACAGGTCTATGCAACCACTATGCTACAAGCTGCATGGTGTGTCTAGAAAATGTTTATAATAGGAACAACTGTAGTGTCTGCAGTTGTCCGTGTGTGCGTTCACAAGGGAGTATAATTGAGTCTTAATGTAGGTGTCAGGGAACTATATCATCTTCATCATGGAGTCACTAATAGGATAACCCACCTGCACGCACTGGAGCAACAGGATTATAATATTGAATCATTGTTACTACTTTGTACTTCCACAATGAATTAATATTATTATTGCAATTAAAGGACCAGTGTGTAAGATTTAGGTGAAAGGGATCTATTGGCAGAAATTTAATGTAGAATAATCCTCTTGATGTTTTCACTAGTTCGTTTCATCTAAATTGTATGAGTTG